ATTATTTGATTATCATGATGAACTATCGTATACCTACGTAAAGTTATCAATTTTGTGTTTATAATTTTTCAATTTATTTTGAATAAACCCCCCCCCCTCCCAGATAATTTAATGAAATTTCTAGCTACGCGCCTGGTATATACTATAGGTATACCTAACCTATAGCCATTAAACATTTTAATTTATTTTCACTTTTTCACGTGTTTGTTGAACTTTAGGTCACTAGCTCGTTAATAATTAACGAGTGGTACCTAAGTTGTATTATATTATAATATTTGAAACAACAAAAGTTATTAGTTATACATTTGGCTAGTATTTTTCATTAAATTATCTGTGTAATTGAGTGAATATTATGGAATGAATATTGAGTAGGTTCATAAATAATTAGGTAGAAATGATAAAAATGTCCAATATTTAAATAACAAGAATCGTGCTCGTTCTTTTACAAATAACTGAAAAATTTAATTGATAAATATTAAAGGTGTTTATATACAACCCACAAAAAAATGTTTCTTCTAATTATTTTTAAATGTTAAATCATTGTAGTTAGAAATACGACATCCAATCTAAAAAAACATAATTWATTGAAATATTGGGATAACTAGGATAACCATCACATGATGTCATTGGTTCGGGCTCGGCATAATCGCCTACCTTACGCATATAAAAGTTTGATTTGGATAGACTTATCACATATGTGATTTTATGTGCCAAAGACGATAGAGGTATCAGAAATTTAAATAACATTTGGTTCGTTTAAAATTAAAAATACGATGTGATATTTCCGTGTCGTATACATATTTTAGTTACACGACATATAGCGTGTTGGTTTAGTATGATACATATTTTAAATATATCAAAAATATTTCACACATAAAACATTAATAAAATTCTAGTCCCACTAATATTTTCGGTACCTACATAACAACTTGCCACATGCATAGAGAAAAAGTTAAAAATATATTTAAAAGGTGGGTAATTTGCTGTGTAAAGCGAGTAACATTTACATAATACCTATGTAAGATAGAAAATTAGATACCCTAATGACCGCATGCATGCGTATTTTATTAATTCATCATAAAGTCATAAAGTCATAACTTATTGAATAATGTGAGTCAAAACGTTAAACTTTTAACATTATTATTAGAACTTATCATTCTTTCAAATTAAAGAAAGATATATTTTTTATGCATTGTGTTCCTTTATTTTATTCCACTAAGAATTTTATAGTAATAATAAGGGCCCGGATTTTTATGCAAAAATTATTGTTAAATATGCACATATTTATGCACACAAAAATGCAAAAAAATTCAAAAAAAAATGTATCGTGTATTAAAAACATTTAAAAAWAATTAAAAAATAATTGTCTTTATACTTACGACTAACCTCCCTAAATTATAAACAACATAATACTTAAAAACAAAAAAATGTATCTTTTACCACTTAACCTCTAAGAATATATAATAGTGAAAATTAGATAAATATATCTAATATTGCATATGATAAAAATGCAAAAATATGATTAATTATAATGATGAAATTTGTATGTATATGGCTATGTCACAATAATTTATAATTTATATTATGTAGTCAAAATCGGAATTCATGAGATGTGATGAGAAAAAACCATTCATTCGGACAAAAACTTAATTTGCACTTATTGTTAATTTTCAGATACGGGCTATTGGGACCTAGTGGCTGTGGAAAAACGACTCTATTGAGCTGTATCGTCGGTCGTTTGCATTTAGATTCTGGAGAGATTAAACTCAAAGGCAAACATATATCTGATATTGGATATATGCCACAAGTAATGCCACTAAATCACCTTATCGAGTATTATTTTTAATTATTAATATTACATACCTCCATCTGTGTTTCTAAAGGAATTGGCATTGCATAATGAATTATCCATAAAAGAAACGTTCATGTACTATGGTTACATATTTAATTTGTCAAATGATGTTATCGAAACAAGAGGCCGAGAACTAAAGGAGCTCTTGAAATTGCCATCGTACAGTTTAAGTCTAAAAGAGATTAGGTAAGCAATAGAGAAAGTTTTACAAACTTCGTTCACGATTCGTATTACTAATTTATATTTTCGTGATAAATTTGATTTTTCTTATAAAGTGGTGGTCAACAAAGAAGAGTTTCGCTTGCAGTAGCGATGCTTCACGACCCAAAACTGTTGATTTTAGACGAACCTACAGTTGGCCTGGATCCTTTGATTAGCCAAAGGTAATTGAATCTGCGTTTAATAAAATTAAATATTTAAATTAATATCGAACATAGACGTTAGAAGCACTACTCCCTATAAACTTTTACTTGTTAGTTCTCCGTGGTTGAAACATAATCTTACATAAAAAACAAAAGCTGCATGAGTTCAATGTACAACATTTATTTATAATAATATTATTATATGTAGGTACCAATATATAATAAACAAGTATTATGGATGTGCATTATGCGAGATTAAGAATGAGATGAGAATAAAAACATACACTATTTACGTCATCTATAGATTATACTTTTCTAGATTTATTTTATTATTCTTAGAAGATAACATTTAAATATAATATAGACAGGAAAATGGCAGACGGGGAAGTGACCTATAATATCGGGTGAAACAGATTCAGTGATCCTGTCACGGTAAACATATAGAAAGGAAATTATCTAATCAAATTATTGATAATGATTAATGATATTTTAAAAACATTCGCATCTAACTGGAGTAGTAGAGTCGTATTATACAGTTAAAATATATTTATTATACTAAATGTATTATTAATATCGAGAAGGGAGGGATGCTTTTACTATTTCATTTATTTTATTTTATAGATGGCTCCTTAGTCCCCGTAATGACTAAACTCTAATGACTTTCGCGGTTGTGGGGGTATTTTCAAGGCACATGGCTTATTTTTAATTTCTCTGGTTTCCTGAAATGGGACTCTAGCCCATGGAACTATTCAATCCTAGTTACGCCTATGATATAATCATTACATTATATATATTACATATATTACATAGGTATCTATTACATAATGCATTATGTATATCATATAATAAATTGTATAAATAATGTGAGAGATATATTATAGAAAGTAACTTAGTAGTTTTTTAGAAAGTCAGTTTAAATTATATTTATTTATTATAAATTAAAAATAAAGTTAAAAAAAATATATGTGATTATTTTACATTTTTACCAGTACTAACTGAAATTTGGATTTTTAGTATTTGGGAACTTTTATTGGATTTGACATCAAATGAAGGCAAAACAGTGATAATCACCACGCACTATATCGAAGAAGCAAAACAGTCACAAATGGTGAGACGAGTTTTTATCAACTTTCTTTTGTAAAATGTGCCTATATATAAACAAACATATGTTAATAAATATGTTTTGTTTATAGATCGGTTTGATGAGAAAAGGTACTCTTCTTTCTGAAGCAACGCCAACGGAACTATTAACTTCGTGCAATTGTTCGTATTTGGAGGAAGCATTTTTGAAGATTTGCCAAAACCATGTGGCAAAGACAAACAGCTTCAAAATACCAGTAAAACAAGTACGGAACGATACAGTTTGATTTTTTAAATAATAAACATATCATAAAAAACGATTTTTCCTGTGTGATAAGTAATTATGGCCATATGGGTTTTTATAATCAATGTTTGATACTCGTATATAGGTACCATTGTCATATTTTTCATACAATCCATAAGTCTTAATCCTCAATACCAATAATTCAACATATCGTGTTATGTTCTACTTTATATTTAGTAATTAATATCATAATATAATATTATTTAATAAGCAAATATTATGTTTAAAGTCAATATACTGCTTGGCCTGCATTGTTACGCTCAATATAATATGTTATAAATAAAGGCAGGCTAAGGTATCAAAGGTATCTAAGGTCTACAAAACAAAAATTTAATAATTTGCCAGCTACCTACTAGGAAATATGAGTTTTCCCTAAACTTTTTTATTTTATTAAATTGCATTGTTAAATTATTTCATTTATATACATATACATATGTAATATATTGCTTTTTCTAAGGCAGTATAGCGAAAATAAAATTTCTGTTTAAAGCAGTAAAATTAAGTCAGCAGTCCATTTTACAAATAATAGGAGCTGCATAAAGGTTATTATAATGTTTATTTAATTTAATGTTTCCCTTAAATTAATTTATTTTAATTTTGTTTATAATCGACCATTGAAAGGCGTGTCGCATTGTGTGTCACACTCACAGACTTCTATACTTACTAGATAAGTAACTCTCATAATATTTACATTGTTATCAGTGAAGCTCGCGCCGGGATGACCGCCATCTTTTCGGTTGGCAAAACATTGGTTGGCATTACAAAATGTATAAGGAATAAACGAAATTATAAATTATCTATATAAAATAATTTTTTTTTGTTACAAACAACAAGTCTAGAAATAATAAAATACAATACAACATCAATTAATATTTACCATAAATACATAATATATAATATTGCATACTATTTGCYAACCGAGAAAATGGCGGAAYCCGGCTTCAACTAATGCACGGAGTTACTTATCTAGTTATTATAGAAGTCTGTGGTCACACTGCACATAAACTAATATAGTAGTATTTTAATTCAGTTGACGTAGGTATAATAATATTTATATAATCGGTACTTATAACAATATTTATAAGTTATAACTTCACAATATTGTGAACATTTAATATTTATTTTTTATTAAATATTTCGTGTTTATCCTGTAGCCTACAAGAAGGTTTTCTTACGCTCGAGATTTACCCCCACCACCGTTGTTAAACAACACATTATTTACGTTTGGACGTTTCAAAGCTCAGGTGTGTAAAAACATTTACCTGTTGAGAAGAAACATACCGTGAGTATAGTATATGCTATTATAATGTATAATATTATTAATATAAATACAGGGTGATTCACTAAACATGCGACTACCTTTTTTCTTCAATAAAGTAGTATTTAAAAATTTGATTTTTTGAATTTTGAAATAGGTGATCAAATTTTCATACTCTCGAAGGTTTTTGTACTACTTATAGGGAGTGTTCAGGGGGATATACAAATTTCTGTTTTTTAATTTGACGTACCTAAATTTAAATTCGAACAAGTAGTTTTTGAGTTAGGTAATAGGTGTAATGTGATAAAAAGATAGGGGACTATGGGGATGTGAAAATGTTTGTGAAAAATATTAATCCATGAATATAAATGATTTTAAAAATGATTTAAGTATAGTACCTATATACTAGATCCAATATTACATTTATTTTATATTGTTGTAAAATCATTTTTAAGAACTTTACGTTATCCATAATAAAAAATGTACTAACTGAAAAACTACCTACCTAGTCATTTTAATTTGGAATTGGGTACATCAATATTTTTAAAAGAATTATCCACTAAATAATTTACAGTAAAACGAATGGTTTGTAAAAAAGTTTAAATCGTCACAAGACACTCCTTAATTAGAATAAAAGATTTAAGAATCTGAAATCTTGAATACATTTAAAAATTTCAAAAATCAGGATTTGAACAATTTCATTGTTGAAGCAGAAATTAGAATGAGCATGGTCATTGAATCACTATAGTCTATATATAATATTTTTAAACTACTTCATATTTAGTAAAGAAATGAATAAAGATAGTTATAAATAATAAATAAAAAATTGTTTTGTTTTATTATTCCGTTTTTATAGGTTTACTTTATTTGTRATCTTCTTACCGCTGATACAGACAGTATTATTTAACGTCGCTTGTGGCCATGACCCGAAACATTTGACTTTAGGTATATTAAATGATGAGCCTGTGAGTCAAACGGGTACGTGTTCGTTGATGAAGACGAAAAATTGTTTTTTGGACGGAGGTGTGCCGGTCAGTTGCCTGGTATTGGAAAGATTAAAAGAGAAGACTTTTGAATTGGTAATATTTACAAACAAATTATTGTTTATATACTTTAGACGGTTTTTGGTCAATGCTCTTTGCGTGACTTAAATGGAAACACTACAGGTCGTCGGTTGTAATGTCGTGTTCGAAAAGTTAAAAAATTTAGGAATGATAATTTTAATAGATACCATTACGTATCAAAAAACAATAAAAAATTCAAGCTTTACAGTTTTTTCAAATTTTATTTTAAGTAAATACAGTAGATAGTAGAATGCGATTATTACAATGCTGTATATAATACGATATTTTGTATAAAACGATTTTCAGTTATAATGTATCTCACAAGTAGTATATTTTTGTCATCCGGATATTATATTCGATGATTATTATCTGATGCTCAAAGGTGTTATAAGCGCATTCTATTGTATAAAAATAATAAGTAATTTTTCAAAAAATTTAAAAAAGTGGCAGAAGCTTACTTTTCTATACAAAACAATTTCTACATTTTTAGATATCCCATTAATTTTGAATTTTTTTATAACTTATGTACTAAAGTAGGTATGCTTAACCCGAAGACGCAATTACAATACGAAGCTTAGGGTTAGTTTTAAAGCAAAGTTAGTCTTTACTTCGTTAATCATAGGTATTTATAGATAATATAACTTATAATTTAAAATCGCTTAATTGCTTCAATCGGCAATATCTATAAAGAAAATCGTATGTAAATCTTGTCTCGCACATCTACGAATTACATCAGTTATCACTACCGGTTTGTTGCCATTCTAGTAATTATTATTATTCTATAATTGAATAAGTACCTACATATGTGATATGTAAGTACTTACATAACTAATAATAAATCAGACTGAAAAATAATAATTAATAATTATTAACATAATAATTTGATTGTCTGCACTCTGATTAATAAAAGGAAATGTCTGTGTGTAAGCAACCATTGTCATGTTTTTCGCACTACTTACACTAATCGCTAACTCATGGATATGTCGACTCACGAAAAAGAAATATTTAATTAATTTATATATTATTTACATGATGGTTAGAGAAAATAAATTATTAATTACAATTGGATTTAATTTTAGACTTTATATTATATTTTGTCAAAAAGCAGTGCAGTTTATATTTAACGGCGTTTAAAAAAGAGTAAATTCACGGGAAGATGAAAAAAAAATAAGATGTCGTTCAAGATCTGTTAATAATTAATAATATCGAAATATAAATAATATTTATAATTGTAAAACCTTTTTCTATTAACATGCATACTAATATAATATTATTTTAATTATTTATGCGTCTAAAAGTGATCGAACGTGTTACTTAAGAATTATTGTACGTATCAGATTTCAGCAATCTGAGATGTCTCGTTGGTGACGATTAAATGACGAACTACGGTGTACGATGCGCTATAATAAAAAAAAAAAAAATAATAAAACTTAATCATAATTATTTGGCGAATAAAAATGTCAACGTCGAGTAACCAGAATTCTGCACACGTATATTCAAGATAAAAATTAAATATCGACACGGTAAATAGCAAAGTAACACTGTAAATTATAATCACATATTATCACAGTTCAATGCCGAAATTTATAATGCAATGGATACCTCTACGTTTGGTTTTTAATATAATTTTACGGGACCTTCGAACACACGACATAATTTGAACTATAATGCATCTCACGCCTGTTCCATATTTTGAAGGTGCCTATACCGTATATTAAAATTTACAAATGTTTATAACTGTCCTAAGCTATATTTGAAATAAATTACGGAAAAATATTTTRTTTTATTTTACCTGTATAGTGTATACGAATACGTTAATATTCTTTTATATGAATTTGTAAATCATTATTATAACTTAGAAAAAATAAATACATAATATTAGATTAACCTATAAGCTATTTGGGTGTCTAATTAATATAATATATGTATACCTATATAATATAAAGTATATACACACAAATACACAATCATCTAAAATCTGAATTTTGTAATTTTTATTTTTACTTAAAATATATAATATAATATGTACTTATTATATTTTTAGTCTCGAGATTTTTTACACTGCCTTAGGAATATTCTGWGGAGATACCATTTTACTTTTTTAATATGAATGGTATTATTCACCATATTTGGTGAATCATTTTCCTTGAAATGTTGACGTATCAAAATCAAAATTCTAACGAGTAGTTTTGGAGTTATTTAACTTTGTGCACTATTGTACAAAAGATATAGTTCTATTAACATTTACAACGGGTTTGGAAGACTGGGGCTATGGTAATTTTAAAATGCTAATATTAATCTATCAACATTTATAATTTATAAAAGTATAACTTAAAAGGTAATCTCATTTGAAGTTGAAGTTTACAATGCTACAGGACAATCCTTAGTAGGTAGTAAAAAATCTCAAAAATTTTAAAATATGGTTTTGGCTCTCGGGCAGGTATAATAAAAAAATTTAAATTATAAAAATTATCGATAAAATTGAAAAATTAAAATATAAAATAATTTGAATAATTGAAAAAATGAGTATGCTTGTCGAATCAGACAGTAGTATTAAGTTATTCTTTTTTTCAAATTTTAGGTTGAATATTCTAATTCGGATGACGGTCAGTATGCTGTGTCAGAAAACAAAGTCTGGGGATTTCTTCATTTTTCGAAAAACTTCAGTAGCAATTTGGCGACCCGTTTTAATGAAGGGGGAGACATCACCGACAACAACATATTTGACTTAGGATCGATCCAAGCATGGATTGACAATACAAGTAAGAACGTAAAATATATATTTAATATAATATAACTGTTGTCTATTATGGCACCCAAATGGGTAGTAGTGATGCAACTGAGTGAAATTACATTACACTCAGTGCTCTAATTGGGGGGAGGGGGTGCAGGAGGACGGAGCTCTCCTACTATTTTTATTTCTTTTGTGTACCTACCCCTACTATTTTTTTTTACTTAGACGGGGAGACGGTACAAACTAATTTCTGAAATAATTTTTATTAAAATATGGATTTTTAATTGATGTCAATTATATAAAAATTCTATTATTTGTCATATTATAGTTTAATATTTTATAATATCTTTTCTACGCAATTTAAGATATACGGTTTAATATCTACAACCATGCTTTTCTRCGGTCCACAGATATTAKAGTGTGTGATATTACCATAGGCGTGTCTATGGGGGMGGCAGGGTGGGCATCAGCATCCCAGTGACTTGATTCTTGGCCTCTTGGCGTATAATCTACCGTGGTTGAAACACAGACTTCTATATAGTTAGTAGTGCTATATATAATTGCTATACATAAAAAAAAATTGTGATTGATTGTGCACTTGGAACGCAGTTTTTAAATCGTTGAATTGAGCTCCTCTACTTAATTTTTCCCAATTAGAGCACTGATTACACTTCAGGTGTCACAAATACGCTCATGTAAATAATAATGATTAGTTTTTACGGATTATAGTGATTTATTTTAATGTTTAATCACTAAGGCGSATGGAAGCTGTAGGCAAACTATTTTGTTTTTTATACTTTTTTAATAGACTCTAGTAGTTATTGTTAGAATTTGATGAAAAATTGGATATAAGATTATATGTTAGTTAAAAAAAAAATTCAATAACTGCCTACTTAAGATAAATAATGATAAAATTAATACAATATCATGAATAACAGGAATTAGAGAATTGCGCCCCTCTTCATCCTACCATACTGCATAGTAATAAAATTATATATAACCACATCTACGGGACTAGGATCTAGTCCAATAGGTAAAAATATAGTTTTGGTATTATATACATTTACCATATTCACCATTTATATAGAATATACGGAGCATAAGAACCAACCATCAAAAGCTGGTCGTCTAGATATCTATTCAACATTTTATAATATTTAGACGTATTGTATATAATATATTGTGACGTATTGTATGTACTTACAGTTTTTAAGAATCTTAGCTATAGTTTATATTTAACATAATCCGTTCGGAGAGCTCACACATATTAATGATCAGTCACTACACACATACAGCACTCACGATAAACAAAGAATACCTATTGACTAAATCATACCCATAAAAAATGGTTCACTTTCGACAGTCTTAAATAATTCTTTATTCTGGGAACTTATTTTATTATAAATTAAGTACATGACTAAAAACCATTGTAATCATTAATATTAACAAATATAATACCTATATCGAAGTTAATTCAAAGTTGTTTACTAACCTGTTCGTCCTACCTCCTTCGAAACATTTTCCCAGGCAAGTTGGACCTTATCTCTATTGCTGTGATCCTTGTTTTTGTAATCGTACAAACAGTCGTATCCTTCGATTGCTTCTATTAATTTTAAATTTAAATCTCGATCTCCTTTCGACATCGTATTTAAATATTAACAATAAAGATATATAAAATCAATTAATATAGAACTAAAAAAGCATGTATATTGTATTAATTTAATTAATTTAATGTTTCACAATCACTAAAGTCAACTCAAGACACTACTCCGAACGACGTACATTGTGCTTTTAAAATAGTAATATGGCAGATCGTCACAAACGATATTTTGTATAAAATAAAAAAAAAAAAACAAAGATAATATATGTCAAAACATCGATAACGTTTCTATTTATGGGATTTATGTTTTTATTATTTGGATTTTTATAAAAACATTATTCAATTAGTACGATAAATTATATTTACTATTGTTATTATGCTGTATATATACTAAAATATGATAAATATAACATAAATAACATGAAATGTACTTACAAAATTTATAATTATATAATATAAATTATACATATGTATATTATATTATTACTATTTATTTATAAATTATACAAAACTTTATTGTTGAAACCAAAATTACAAGTTTCATGAAACCGCGGTTGCGTAACTATGAGAAATGTTTGTTTCATGAAACTCGGTGTACGTATCTATTTGATTCTCAATTAAATGGTTTCATGAAACTAAAGTTTCACATTTCATGAAATTAGTTTCTTAAAACTAGTTTCTTCAGTGTGCAGGCTGCCTAAGATTGTTGAAAGCGAACCATTTTAAAGGAGTAGGACTCKGGCAATATTTTATATCCATTGAGTGCATGACTATAAATKTCCCGAAAAGCGGAAGCAAAATTCACTCAGTTCTAAAAGCCCGATTTAAATTGTGTGTGTATTCTTTATTCTCTTTTTTAGGTTCTATTAGAAATGGTTTTTCTTTTTTTTTGTATTGCTTACTTAGTATAATACCAAAATTTTTTTTTCAAAAGTCACTTTTACTTTGTAAATGTATTTCTTACAAAACACAGTAAAGAATAATAAACAAATTAAAATATTTTTTTCAAAAATAAAATGTGAAGTGTAGGTACCAACTTTTTTCTTCTGTTCCTTAGTTTAAACTTCAAATATACGAAAGACAACCCATTTTCAACAGCCTTAATAATACTGCGGAATCACTACAATAAAGAATATCCCATCAATAGTACTTTTTATTTTTCAGATAAGTATATGTACGATATGATAAAAAGAGACATTTTTGACAGCTACACAGACGTAATTGATAGTCTTTTCAACAAGTGTAATATATCAGAAAGAATCGGTAATACGCCAATCCGGGTAAGTGGACTGCTACAGCTATATGCCTATATCTATATAGTTTTCTATTTTTAATTTAATGATATTTTTCTAAAATGTATCAAATGAATTCCGAGTAATATCTAAAAATTAGACATCTGATAATGTGCTACAAACCACCACAATACTTATAATGTTAATCACCTATAAACTACAATAATATCATTTCATAGTTACATAATTCCGATGACAATTAATAAATAATGTAGGTAATCGATAATGTTGACGACATTGTTATACATTTTATAGTTTTGTATAGACGTAAGCATACATATATTATAAATGCATAATGATTTTCGAGGGCAGATTAATGAATAATAATATTAAATAGTTATATACCTTAGGTATACATTTATGCATTATTTATTTTTTACATAGGTAACATTATTGTCTTCAACGAGTTTATTTTATATTATCTTCGTAGATTTATTATGATTAGTACGCTGTGCATCTATATTGCCAACTTAAGATGTGGGCACCTCGCCAGTAAAATAATGATTCAAATAATAGTTAATACTATTCAAAAATTATAGTAAAAAGATGGACAAGARGGTACCACTCTGGTGCCTGCAGCTATTCAGTAATTGTCGAAAATATCATTGTAATGGATGAGTTATATTTGAATTTAATGACAAAAATAATTTTTGGTGGAGACGTGCCATCTTAGCATATTTGTTGAAGAAATAAATTTAATAATTTTAAAAAAAAAATCAAAATAATTATAATAATAGCTTATGTTTCTGTGAACTTTTTTGTATGGATTTAGAAAATAGAATTTTCTGGTCGTCTGGCCAACACATTTTTAATCGAATAATATAATATCGAAAATTTAAAGGGTCAAAATGTTATGTAATCGAAGTATGTTTTAGTCAAAAAATATATATTTTGAGTTAAATATTTTTTTTTTTAAAACATTAAAGTAAATAATTAAAAATTAACTAAAATAGATATTATATTATGCAAAAAGTTGTAGGTAGTAAAATATTAAAATAATTGGTAGGTATAGATACTAGTATTACTTGTAAGTATTAGTATAAATAATATAATATAATAAGTAATTAAAATTTTAAATTTTGAGCTATTCCCCTAAAATAATCTAATAAATCATAACCTGGATCAGCTAATAACACGTATCGTAATTTAAAACACGACGGGGAGGACTAACAGCTTTAATCTTGGCTTGCAGACCAGAAAAATGCCAGAAATATTGCTGGCATTATCGAAAGATTGTCCTCTTAAGTTACAAATGTTCAAATTAAAACTTTCAATTGTCGAAAGAACAACTCCAGCCATTTGTTCAGCTTTATGGCCAACATTATCTAAGAAGCATAAAAATCRWTCCACTGGTTTTCTATTTTCATCAACATATCGTATACTTAWTGAGAATYGATTAATATGACTAATGTCTGGAGTTGAATCTACACCGATAGAGAAATATTTTTCATTCTTAATTTCTTGTATAATTATGTTCTTTACCATGTTTGACATAATAATAAACTGTTCATTTGTATGATACGAAATATATGAAACTTTTCCCTTTCCTGAACTACCATATTTTTTTAAATGCTCAGATAGAAATGGATCAAATTCGGAAATTAGTTCAAGTCCCATCAAAAAATTGCCATTATGGGGACTACTTATGTTAAAGTCGTGACCACGGAATGGTAATCCTCTACAAGATAGTGATTTTACTACGGCTACAACTCTTTTCAAAACATTTATCCAATATGTTCTCTCATTTTCAATCTGTTGAATCAATTGTTGATTAATAACATTTTTACTCTTTCCACGGTCGTTCATAAGTAACATATTTGATCGATGCTTTGGTGAGTTATAATACTCTTTAATACGTTGTTCTGATTTTTCCCAATTTGAAAAACCTTTTGAAGCAAACACAGATATTCCACCAAACAACAAACATGGAACGCAAAAAACTGCTTCTTTACTTTCAGAGTACACCAGATAGTGACGCTTTATTTTTTCACCATTTTTCAGAGTAGTCTGTAGATAACTTGTACTAAAATATCTAAATAAAGCAGTTTGCAGTTAATAATTTAATATTTTTCAATTATGTAATTATGTATCTATAAACAATAAACATGCCTATAATATGTGTTAGCAACTCCTCGATACAATTTTTATATGACCTCTTAGAATTTGAGATATTTAAACTGTCTATATCTTGTGAATATCCATTAATAGATATGTAGTCTCTGGTATGGTCATTGATTATCTAAAAAGCAGGATCAGGTCTATAATATATTTTATATTTTTAAATTTTAAACTTTTGGCAAAAAAAATTATATTAATTATAAAAGAACAAGCCCAGTAATATAATTATTCCTGTCTTCATAAGGTGCTCCACCATCTGCCAATCGAACAGAATTATCTAATGAAATTAATTATATTTACATGGTAATAAATAATAATTTGAAAAGTTAAAGTAATTTAAAATTTACCTTCTGATGTGTTTGTGCACAAACAAGAAACTTCTGTTTATGTCTGTTGGTTATAGATAGTATTTTCTTTAGTGTTTATCGATACAATTGACATCAAGTCTTCTGATGTGTTAATCTGGTTATTTTAGTAATGTACTTCATAAAAATAATCAATGTCATAAAAAAATTTTAAATAAAAAAACTAAATGTAGTTAAGGCAGTTATACAATTTCCATGATGAATTAAGTTTTTTTTTAACTTCAAGCTATAAAATAATGTAAAAAATAATTTAACAATCATTACTTTGACGTTTAGCTTTAAACAAATTTTCAATATTTCTACATCATCAATGCCCAAACGGCTCCCGTCTATTGTTTATTTTCCCCAAACGGCTCCCATCAAAAAAGGTTTTACGAACAGGTCAATACCCAAACGGCTTCCGTCGAAAAAGGTTTTATGAACAGGTCAATTCCCAAACGGCTCCCGTCGAAAAAAGGGGTAGAACACGATTTTACAGGTAAAATTAAAGCATTTTTATTACTCCAAATATTGAGTTCAGAAAAGAAAACCCAATCCAATGTAACAATATTGTAAAAAATTTACATTTAATGTTAATTTTATCGTTTTCTGCAATAGTAAAGTTTTCTAAATATTTTGACTAGCATTTACCTAATTAGTCATTTTYAACTTTCAATTTATTAGYTTTTTTTCCTATAAATGTCAATGCAATTATATTCATTGAGTTAAAAAGCTTGGAAATATGATAGAAGGTCATCACACATTAGTTTAAAAATATTGAAAATACAAAGTCAAGTTTTTTGTATCAGCATGTTAGGTTCAAATATTGCAAAAATTTTCAAATTTTCAAATTTACAAATTAAAAATGTACAGTTAACATGTTGAATTTTTATAGCTAATTATTGAGCATTTCAAGCAAAGTTCTACGTAAGTAGATCATTCTTTAACCAATATTAAATTCTAAAAACATATAAATACAGCTTTTTTACAATTTCAAGTTCGTATTTGGGAGTAGGTATTCATGGGTACCTGAAACTTAAGATTAGGTATATTGCTATTATTATTATAATTATATGATGGCATTTTCAAATTTTTCGACAACAATTAATTTAACCTACTGTAGCACAATTACGTCTATAAATAAAATAAATTAATATTATCATAATAATATCATGAAATATAGCTACTTAGTAAATAGTAATMTTACTGAGTGCTAAATCGTCTTCACTAAGAATTGTTTTACGCACGTTTACATATTGTAATGATTTTATATCATTGGACTGTTCAAATTTAACACACCCATTGCACTGTTAACCTTATGTGTAGCAGAATAGTAGAGCGTTAGTTAAAATATATTAAATTTTTTAAATTAACTTGTTTAATATAAAAATTAGAAACAATTATTTATGTAAGAATCATCGATTTTATTTATTCTTTTTTAATTGCAGTTTGTGTATATTTTTAATAAAGAAAAAAAAATATTGATTTTGATCTCTAAGAAAACTTTTTACAATTTGTATTGGTATTAATAATMAATTTCAAGCCCTGCCTATAGCATGTCTGTTTTTWCGTGTATCATGACTTAGGTGAACTATATTTAGCTATAAAACTAAGTTGTTCTGTTAGCAGTCATTTCATTATACCTAGTACCTATACTATCTTGTAACAATATCTAAAATAATGAACATGTTTTGTTTAGATTCTCGATCCTGTTTATGGTAACAAAAATCCAACTTTTATACATTACGCTTCGCCAGCAATAATAGCACTGTAAGTATAACCATTTTCCATTGGTAAGCGTCCAGCGCCCAGGTGCAGCAGATCATTTGCTTTTGCTGTCCCTGGTCGATTTAGCTTCAAAATTATAAAATTAACAAGGTTTTTACTAYAAAAAAATTATTAAAAATAATACATTATTTTATGTCTATAGTGATAAATAAAATAGTTAATAACTCAAACTACGATAGAATCTTCGTTCGGGGTTATTCTTATGATCAAATACAAGATAATCAAAATAATTTTTGTTATCATACCTATACGAAATCAATCAAATCATTACACATTATACTTGATCTCTTGACTCTCAGCATGTCTACATCACATTAGCTTACCCAACTTTACTATTAAGTGTCATCGTGGATTTTTAAGGGAAAACGGACAACAGATTTTTTAACGATGAACAAAAATAGACATTTACCAGCCAGAATCAACACATCATAATTATTCATTTACGATTGATAAAATGTTATTTAATTTCGTTATTAGGTTAATCAAACAAATAAACAATATAACATTTACAATATGTACCTATAATCATTTATAACCGAATAAGTATGAAACATATATTAYGATTGTATCAGTTACTAGAATCTATCATATCAGTTTACCACCAAATTATTATTTTTTCTTAAGGGAATGAGCAACTGCCTCTCATGCTCACTGAATTTCACGCCACAGTAGAGCATGGAAAAATATATAAGCACTTTATATAGAAACTAAAAGATATGTTATTGTTTTATCATTAAGTAAGTAACTAAGTGTAGGTTAATAAAGTAGCTTATAAAACTATTCATTATTAAATTAAATATATGTATACCGTGAAATTCATATTGTCAATAATTCATAATGATTTAAAAGTTATAATATTACCTACCTATTTGTCTTTGGACAATGAGAAAGGTGAGAAATATAATCAGGTACCTAAGAATATTTGATGCACTTGACTATAAATTTTGTGCACTCCTATGCTTACCTTTATAATGTAATAATTTTATGTACTTTATATATTTTGATAACATAGGTTTAAGTAGTATAATAATTAACAATTATGTTTTATTTTTTATTTTTTATTTTTTATTTTAAAGATGTGCATTTTACCTACCTGCAATCTACACTGGATCTACAATTATTTCTGAAAAAGAAGGAGGGGTTATTGAGAGAGTAGTCTTATCAGGTATTGTTGAATGAATTTAAATTATAGATATTATTAATTTATGAAGGCGGAGTAGATTGGTAGGCTAACATGGATTATAAGGTCAAGTCTATGAAATGAGGTTTATATACTGCAACTATATTCAATAATTAATTTTTTTTTGTTTTCAACTTGAAATTATAATCCCAAAAACTAATAAAATTGTTCTTAATTTTACGCGGCAATAATGTTTCGCCAAAATCAAAAAAACCCAAGTGTTTATAGTTATTTTCAAGGCTGGGCAAGTGAATGATTTTTTTTTAACTCAGTTAAGTTAAAAATTTTTGTTCAATTAAATTATAAGTTAAGTTAATATATTTTTTAATACATCAATTAAGTTTAAAGTTAAGTTAACAAATTTTATTAACTTAACTTCACTTCAATTAATAAGTTAAGTAAGTAAAAAAAATCATTGAACATTTTTTAAAATAAGTGAAAATCACTTATATAGTAGGTAATATAATTTATATACGTAATTAATATGAGATATATAATTTAAAAACTGTTGTAGGGCTGTATCATTTTATAACTCTATTTAATATTTATACTTCACTTTGGAGTCTTGGTTGATTTATATTTTAATTTAAATGTGCTTACTTTATTGTTTAACCTTAACAATTCAAAAATAAATAACTCAAACATTTAAAAATAAGCTATAAAAAAATCTAGTACTTTTCTGCTGGTTTATTCAAAGTATTTATTAAATTTCAATAACAAAGTAATTTCAAAATAATTTTGATCTGCCATTGAACTTCTTCTTTTGTTGAGCAACTACTGTCTTCCAGCACTAAAGAGTCGCTCAACGTGTGCAGAAGAAGGGACGGCAGTGTTGTATTTTATAAATACTTCTTTAAGGGGATTTGGTAAATCTAAAGGAGATTTAATATTTTTATTAGACAAATAATTGTCAACAAGAAGTTTTAGGAATGATAACTATATTATGAACTATGAATATACAAATATACAATTGTACAAATATATAGGTAATACACCATTATTTATAGGTAGGTACTACTAGGTAGGTATTTTTGTAATAAAATGGTCACAATTCATGATAATCGACAATCATTAAAATTATAAAATATTATATTAATAAATATTAAGTAATAGTAATAATAATAATAATAATAATAATTAATGAGTACCTAACAAGCCTAGTATTATTAAACGTGACTTCGTGAGCTCGTAGCTATTGATATATCTTATATAATATCAGGTCATACGGGCGACTAAATGTCTCATTGTTATATCTATATTATTATAAATTAATATTATTTATTTTATTATTACATACTTAATTAATATAACATATTAGTTGTTATTTATAAAAATAATTACGAAAATATATTCTTTTTTTCCAACAATATTTTCTAATATTCTACGAATTTTAAATCAAAGAACCGTTATAGACTAAAATATATTCTAGATAAAACGAAAATTCAAAATTAACTTAATTGGTAATATTAAAAAAGTAGAAATTGATCTTAAGTTAACGTAGATAAAAATAAGTTAAGTTAATTAAAACAGCGAACTAGTAAGTTAAGTTAATAAGTTAAAATTAGCTTAACTTTCAACTTATTAACTCGTTAATGTCCAGCCTTGGTTACTTTTAACTTGTTGAGATAAGTAGCTAATTAATATTTTAAGCTCTTTACCTACTTCACTATAATATATCAACATTATAGTTCACATTATTGTAAATTTAACGAGTTAGGTATTTTATACTAGATTACAATTAGTTGCTTAGAAACGTTTTATTTTTAGAGGACGAGATAATTAATAGATAATAATTTTGTATGAGTGATGAAAAAATACACCTACTAATTTTTATAAACTTACGTTTTAACCGACTCGACTTGAACATTTTTTTTTTTAACTTACCTAGCCTTTCCCAATTTCGCATGCTCTCATATTGGTTATCATTAGTTATTAATCATTTTATAATATGTAAATAAGTTACGGGCAATGTGTATTAGCACATGGACCGGCTAATGTGGTCCTGCCCGGGTAATGTGAACCACATTTTTTATTTTTTTTCCAACTTATTATATTGACTGAATTAAAACAATAATTAAATTTATGTATCATATTAATATTACGAATGTTTTGACGGAATATCAAAAAAAAAGTTAGTTGACAATATCGATTATTGTTAATTATTTATCGTTGACTGATTTTGTCAAGAAAATAAACAATGTTATGTGTTGAAGTTAGCCCTCCCCCACTTTATAAGACATTTTCAAAATTTTTGTAACCTTATTTTCTCAATTTGTAACCATTTGTAACTAAGTTTTTAGAATTTGTAAACTCATATCTTTCAAGCAACGGGTAATTTCTCAATGAGGGGTTAACCTCACGCAGCCCCATTGCCCCAGCAATCATTCAAAACATTTCGTAACTTATAAAACTCAATTTGTAACTATTTGTAACCAACTTTTTAGAATTTGTAATCGCATCATTTTTTTACCATTAATTTCAAATTTCAATTTTTTTAATGTTTTTCTATAAATGTCAATAAAATTTTATTTGTTGGGTCAAAAAGCGTGAAAATGTAATACAATGCCCCTGATATATTGTTACAATAACAGTTGAAAAATATTAAAAATTCATTTGCACAAATTTATTTTTATAAGTATTTAAAGTTTGAAATTTCACTACATTTATCAAGTTTAAAAWTTTTTAATTATTTTGTAATTAATGATATCCCAACAAAAACACTACGTCAACTCCGTGTAAAAAAACGCTAAGTAAAAAAAAGTTGGAATCTAAGTAAATGGTCTAATGAATAAAATGTATGTATAAGTAATTAATTCAAATTTAATAAAAATTGGTTATTTATATAAATCTATAATATGAATTATTTTAACACAAATTGATCCAATTTTAGTTTACTTGGCCGGAAGATTCAGTCTAAAAAATGTATAGCCAAGTAGGTACTAAGTTTATATAATTAAATAGTGAAAGCACCATTACAATAAATAAATTGGATCAATTTGAGTTAAAATAATTCATATTATAAATTTATATAAATAACTAATTTTTATTAAATTTGAATTAATTACTTATACATACATTTTATTCATTAGACCATTACCTTAGATTCCAACTTATATCACACATTTTACAGCATTTATTTATTTATTTTTTTTACTTAGCGTTTTTTTACACGGAGTTGACGKAGTGTTTTTGTTGGGATAAATAATGTCTGACAGGCGTGACGTTATCAATAAAGTATCAAGTAAGTAGTCTATTTTAAATTCACAACTTCCTAGTTTCATATATTTTTGCAGATAGGAGAAATTGAATACTAACCTGCTATATATAGCACCTTAATATTCATGTGGCATTGTTTGTATATTCCATGTGACAACTGTTGAAATAGATAAACCTTCCTCCTCCCAATAAAGTTCTTGCTACCGAAATAAAATTTAAATATTGTGATATATTCCACAAATTTAAAATTAAACTCAATGATAATTATTTAAAATTTTGTTTTTCTGGTACAGTATACCTAAATATATAATAAGATCTATAGGCGACAAAAACACGAATTACCAGATTTCCATAGAAAATGTGGTAATAAAATATTATGACCCGGTAGCATGTATAATGTATAAGTATATATATATATATAACTGTATAAGTATAATATTTACTAATTACATAAAATTTACCATAGATATTATAAGTTATCTTAATTTATGACGTTTGTTTTTTTAGAACTAGGTACCTTATTAGTTTGCTTAATGTAATATAACAAATGTTAATTACACATAATTCTTGTAAACAACAATTTATAATAATATATACCTAAGTAATTTTAGATTTGCATATTATGTATAGTATGTATTATAATTTAAAATATTTTAATTTGACAAACATCAACTTTGTATAGGAATGAACTTCATTGAAATCGCTTTGGCTCAAGTTCTAGTGCAGACGATATTTATCTTTATTCAAACTACTCTGGTGATGATCGTCATGTTCGTTGTATTTGACAATCCATTCGTAGGCGACATATTTCCGTCGTTTTTGCTATTGACAATGATCGGTTGCGGTGGAATGTGTTTCGGTACGTATGTTTTATTTAACAATAATAAAATCAAAATATTATAAAATGATTTACTAATCATGCACACCCCCATTTTTCCTCTAATAATGAAATTATTCAAATTCTTGAGATTTTTTKTACTATTTAAGAAGTGTCCTGTGATGTTACAAACGTTAATTTTTAAAATAAGAACCCTTGTTTTTAAATGTAAATTATTCAGTGGATAATTAAGTGCCAATTTAAGTATATAGCTAACTGCGGTATCAAAATAAATATACCTACAAAAAAGTAAGTAAAATTTAAGAGTTTGTAAATAGATAGATAGAAAAGGATAACATAAAGACCCATAAATTATTAAGGGATATTGAGTAAAGTCTTAGCATACTCATTACTTAATATTTACATATAATTTTCAATTTAAATAAACTCATATTTGTAACACTTTTTTATAAAAATATTTCTTAATGAAAAGAAATGCATAAACAATTCACAATTTTTTATAAAACTAGCTAATCCTCGTGCACTTCGTTTCCTACTAAAAAGCAACTCTATATGATTCAAAATTTGTGTTTATTTCGTCGTTTGATATTCGGCTAGTCATGCTCAATACTTCTTGTGACAAATTCCTGTGGATTCACCCTATTTTAATTTCTATTAAATATTTAAATATTTTTAACACAATCATATAAAACACAGGATTAAAATTATATTCAATCATAATGTTTTTATGCATTATTAACTTTGTATATGTGATACAATCTTCAAAATTTGTACCTAATAACAAATTGCTAATTTTCTATTCATCCATACTRAATTCAATAAATTGTATAACCAAAATAAACAAAAATACATTTATATTTATTATTATCATATCTATTATTTTTATAAAAATTCTCAAATTTGAAATAAAAAAATTAAGGGCTATAGATCCACAGGATAGTGTAGCTTTCTGATGGTAAAAAAATTTAGAACGGTTAATTAGTTTCAGAGATTAAACCGAACAAATGGTCAATTTTACTTCTTTATATTATATATTCCTCATAACTCCTGTAGGGGTTGAATTTTGAAATATCCTTTCTYAGGGATTTTTMATCGTAAAATGRAACTACTGACTAAATTTTTTATTCATAGTTAAAGCGGTTTTGGCTAAAGTAATCTTTTCATTTTCATCCTTTTTATCCCTTTTAACCCTCGAATAAGTWAAGTTTCGAAAAATTCTTATCTTGTGGGTGTCTACGCTACAAAACGAAACTACTATCCAAATTTCATACTTATAGCATCAATAGTTCCGTCTAGGCAATGATAAATCATCCAGGACAATTTATTATATGTATATACAGATAATAAAATAACAAAATAATAAATATTGCTGTATACCTCCAGGGCCGGCCCAAGGTATTTTGWCACCCCGGGCAATTTTTTGAAAGGCGCCCTTAATCAAATGCTTCATAATACATTTAATACTTTTTATACTACCTGCATATTTTGTTTAAAATTCTTATATTTATGGATAGGTAAAGGATTGCAAAACTTATTCGGATACAATTTATAGACGTATCGGCCGTAACACATACTTTGGTTTTTCCGAGTTAATGATTATATATCATTGTATATTATTTTTAAATTATTTGTAATATAATAATAAAAACTGGAAAGTGGAGTAAAACTATGAAAAAAAATATATAACAGAATATTCTGTCATAGATAATTTAGTCATTTAGCTACATTATTGTCAATTTGAATAAATATTACGCTAAAATTTATAAAATATTCGTATATTAAAAGCGCCCCGTTCGCCCGTATCGTGGGCCGGCACTGTATACCTCATATTGTGATTATCAATGTAGAATAATTTTACTCATTTGTTGAAATTCATTAGAATGAAATAGAAATTAATATCTTACTATTTTGAAAGTTAAATTGTACTTAAACTATTCAACTCAAAACAAGTTTCTACTTATATTTTTAACTAATACAGTAGTATTTGGTTTCGTGAGTAGTCAACAACAACAAAAATATCCATTGAATTTTAGGCACAGCTTTCGTATGCTCCATTTAGCCTATGGGTACTGTGTACATTATTATAATATAAGCTACATCTACATTATAATATTATTATTGCCACGTTATCTACAGCTATTTATCTATCTATAATATAGATACGAATTTGTATATTATAGAATTATATTAATAATAGTAGGTATTATACTATTTTATGATAATACATTTCAACAGCATTTCAATACGTTTCAAAAAATAGTCCAATGTATCACGGGATGTGCACTCTTCAATTCACCGGCGCAAACAAAACTTAAATGACATTATTTATAACAATGTTTTTTGGTCCACAGGTTTTTTCACGGCCATCATCTGCAGGACGACGACGGAAGCAGCTTTCCTGGGCATCGGAACTAATTTCCTGTTGAAATTTTTATGTGGTAATTAGCAATCAAAAATTCCTATATTAACTAATATAATTATTATATTAACACAACCCGATATAAAATATGTTTAAATAAAAATGATAATAACAATAAAAGAGCATATAAGTATTATAGTCGATCTAGGTTGTAGTTTTGGTTTCGTTTTAGGTGATAGGAGGAGGATAKAATTAATCAATGACTACACATCCAGGATTATAAATGAAAAATTTTCARGAACTTTTAGGGCGACACAATAGAAAACTTAATATTTGTAGACAATTTTTTTAAATATCAACATAAATAATTTCATGTTCTGAAATACGTACGTAGGTATATTTCAGAATATTTCGATAAGTACATAAAAAACTAAWYTAACGTTAGGTACTTAGTAAGTAGAATTTATATAGAATCTTATAACATTTGAGTATTTAGATTCTAGAGTTTCAAGTTAAGATGAGCATAAAGTATAGTGGACCAATTGCGTTCGAAAATCTCACTAGAAAATAAAATGCTAATTTACAAGCAATTGATACGACTTTTAATGACGTAGGGTATTCAACTATGGAGTTCTTAAAAAAACTCTAACCTAAAAATCTTTCAATAATTTTAATCAATAAGCCTTTGTATCCTCATGAATGCCCGTGTTAAGTAATAGATTCTTGCATCACATGATCTTAATTTTCCAACGATACCAATACTGGCATCGTATAATTATAATAAATTTCACAAAAACATTATAAACCACTATAATCCTCTCATTGCCAACCTAGCATCTATAACACTGCCTTAAAACCTTTCTCGTCGCTTCAAACAAAAATGGCTACGATCACTAATACAAACTACATTGAGTTCATATTGGAAGTAATGTCAATGGACGCTACCTTCCCTCAAACCGTCCAGCATAGTTAAAATAAGTAAATGCTAACACTATTACTTATTGTATTTTATTTATTTTTTAATGTATACAGATTGTATATTTTTTCTTCTGTAATAAAAAAAAATTTCGGATATTCAACATTTGAAATACCATGAATTGTAAACTTACAAACCATTTTTTATAGGAATCGGGGAATGAAATTTAAAATAGTGGCCTTAATTATAGAACGTAGGTACCCAGACATAAAATGTTAAAATCAAATCTCTTATCAAAAATGTAATCACGTTACTATATGATTGACAAAATGTTGGTACATTTTAGTTGAAATAACTGATCGTTTGCAATTCCCTTAATGTTACTAAAACGGTGATTTGAATATAAACTGACTCGAAACTGTATTTGGTAATCAGCTCAGTCTGCACCTTAGCGGCTTCTAAACTGTTGCCACCACACCATGTTCATCAAACATCCCTGTTTCAGGACTTATGTGGCCAACTGAGGGYATCCACTACCTTTTACGCAGCATCAGCATTTATTTGCCGCTGACGATGTCCACGGAAAGCCTGAGGTCACTGACCGCTAAGGGCCTGGGCCTCCAGCATCCGTCCGTTTACCTTGGATTCATGTCGATCTTCTCTTGGATACTCGTTTTTACGTTGGTTTCGTTTGTAATGCTAAAACTCAAACGTGATGTGTGGACGAAGAGTTAACAGGGGTAATCTGCGTAACAATAACAATATTTTTTATGTTTAATAATAATACCTACCTATCAAATTTGATAGGAGTCGTAGTGTACTTGGATACGTAATTAGATAGGACCGTATTGTATTGTTTTTGTTCCGGCTGAATCCTGTTCCAATATTCCACGATCGCAACTACAAAACAATACATGCATTTACATATTACATTGTTTATATAATACTTATACCCCATGAATAGCAGTTGTAACGTTTTAGACGATTTTTTATTTATTTACAAACAATAATAATAAAATATAATATTATGTATAAACGCGTCGCATGTTTAATTTCTGTTTTTATAAAGTTATAATAATATTATATTGTATTAGTATATTATTAAATGATTATAATAATTATAATTGTATTATAATTRTTGCTATACATCGGAATTCAGCTAAAATGCTTTATTTATTTATTAAATTCTGTTCATAAGAACAGATTTACCTAGAATTCCAAGTTGTGTGAAAATATTATAATAATTATTTATTTCATACGATTTTGATTGACATTTAATTGTTTATAAAATCAATAAAAAGTGAATGGAAAAAAAGTTATTATAGTTATACTCATACTTATATATAGTTATAATATACCTTATATGAAAATGGAATGTTTATTTAAAAATTACGCTTTCATGAATTTAATCATAAATGTGCAATTAATTTATTATTATTAAATATTTAAATATTATTAGGTACATATAGTAGATACCTATTGTATTTTATTGTTTCTGTTAATAAAATTTAATTGTCTCGTACACTTAATTTCCTAATTCCTGTAGTATAAGCATTGATTTTAGAATATATAGATAAATGGTATTGTGTATTATAGTGATGACTGATGACCGTTTTCACGACGGCGACGAGCGTATTTACGGATGTAAAACAGGTGGAGGGGGGGGGGGTTAGTCCCTATAAAAATTACAAACAAAATTCTTACTTTTAGTTATAACCTATATTTGTTGTATATAAGTTATTATATTATAGATATCTTTTTGGTTTTTAATTACAATATTAACTAAATGTATATATATATACAATAGCAATATTTTATTAGATTTAAAATATAGTCATACAATAATTCATTACATAATATTACAAGTTTAATTTTCTTGGCTTTTTAGCAAACTCATCAAGAATTTTTTCTTTGTTCAAGTTCTTCAGTAAATCTTTTTCAATGTTTAGWATTGCCAAATTATCAAAACGATTTTGTTCCATTCTAGATCTCAGCCAGGTTTTTATTCTCCTCATAGCAGAAAAGGAACGTTCACGAGTAGCTGTAGTAACCGGCAATATTAATGCTACTTTCAACATTTTTCTTACATTTGGTAGTACTGATTCATCAACAATTTTTATTAGTTCATCAAAATACCCTTCTTCTTTTGATATGCAATTTTTTGCTACCATCATTTCTGCTTTTAGTAGATTAGAATCAATTTTAAGTAACTTATGATRGTAATAAGTATAATAGTATAGTATAATAATAATATAATAATCTATAATAAAATCATAAAAAATAATAGTATAATAATAATATAATAATCTATTACAAGCTTGGTAGTCCCTGGCTACAATCTAATCTTGATCTTTTGAAACTTGATTTGTGCGAATTTTCTTTAGACATTCTTCACAGTTTTTGTATAATTCTCTGTTGTTGTATCATTCAATTCCCTACTACTTTGAACTGGTAAACTAACTGATAATTCAACTGACAAAGATTGTTCGAGATTACACGAGAAGAAATGTTTATAGGTGATCAACGAGTCTTCTGTGAAGTCTTCACAATTAGCTCCTGGAGATTGAGACGAAATTAAATTATTCAGCAGTAATGTTTTGTAGGCAGAAATGAATTAGTGACTAGTTGGGTTGTCCAGCCAAGGCTCCGACTGCACCGAACAAATTTTCAATAGGATTTTGATTGAGATGTCTTGTTAGTAATGATTCCTCTTTCTTCTAAAAATTTTGTCAATGTTTGAAAACCTTTAAAAAAATAAAAGGATTATAGGTATTAATAAAAAAATTTAACAYCTTTCGTGGGTAGGAAACATTATAATATCATGTTCATGGTAGGTGTAGGATTAATTATCACAAAACAGTGACGGCAACGCATTTGCGTTAAGTCGTTTGGTGCCAATACTCGAACAATTGCTAGTGAAATGAAGAGAACAAATAAACTTTTTGGCATAAACTAAATTGGGATCATCATATTCTAATCCAACAATTTTCATCCAAGTTTTAAGCCTTTCCATATCTGTACGTGGATTTGGAAACCGATGACATATCACCTCTAAATGAAGTTAAAATAATACTAACTTAACATACCTGGTTTGAAAAATTATAAAAACTATGTACCATCCCATTTATATAATATTGGAATATAGCGTATTATAAAACATTACTTAATAAATTATACTAAAATGCATAGATAAGTAAAATTTAACATTAATATAGTTTGTACATAAATCGAAAAAGTACATACCTTTTGATTTACAATCACCCACAACACATCTAAAGGCATTTTTCGGAGGCATTATTAAATAAAATATTTAATATTGTACCTAATGATACTCAGAAAATAAATGTTGTACTTCAGTAACAAGTAAATGAGTAACTAGTAAGTAATAAAGTAAATATAAAATTGAATTAACATTTAGCAGCAACAGAACTCATGAAAAACATATGCGTGGCACAGTGGCGGCCTGGGTTCATTTTTTTAGTCGGCTAGAATTTAAAAAGGCCCCTGACCAATAAGACTAATTGCAAATGTGCAAATGCAAATGGCTATGGGCCTTTTTACAGTTTTACATTTTTAAAGATACCTAATCATTTTGAAGTTCTACTACCCCCCCTCTTCCAAAAAAATGTATAATATGTAACTATTTTTGTAAGTACCTTATTTAGGTTTCAATTAACTTTACCCCTTTGGCTTTAGCATTATAAAAACAAATAACAAAATATGTATAATGTTACTTATTCAACATTGCTGTTGATGCATATACTATAATATTAATAGGTATAGGTATTTGTATCATTCTCTACTAGTTTACATACCGGATACTTCATATTATAATATATAAGGACCTGGTTAATATTATTCATATTAATTGTGTGTGYTAAACAAYTTTTGAGTGTCTACCACCGCATTATTATATAATATTTAATATTCAAAAAAGAATATTCAATATTTTAATAAATTTTAATAAATAATAATTAATAAATGATCAAATAAGTCTGTAAGTAATTGTAAGTAAATGTTTAATATCATTATCAACTAGTTAAAATAAAATGAACCATAAATAATAAATAAAATTAGTACAAGAGTAATTTTTGTAATTCTAAAGAGGACTTTGCATAACAGGTTGTTATTTCTTGTACATCAGGAATTTTGTCACTTTCAATACTGATTAATAGAAGTGGCTCTAATAGTTCTTGACTCAATGACGACCTAAGTCTTGTTTTAATAATTTTTAATTTTGAAAAGGACCGTTCACAATGCACTTGGGTGCATGAAAGTGTTAAAATATACTTGTATACCAAGTATAAATTGGTAAATGCAGATGYATRAAAATTGTACTTGTATAGCAATTTCATAACACATGGTATGCATTTTTTACAAATTGAATTTGTATTTAACCTTTTTGGKGGTAATTCAGACTCCACGTTTGGTTGTTTATCAATATTTTCATCAGAAACATAACCTATTGAGTGTAGTACTTCTAGTAAACAAATATATCTTTCCCTCTT